CCCCAAACTCTCTAAGGCTCTTTTTGAGTGTTAGAAAAGCCAAAAATCTTATTGCGGCGCGCCGGATGCGTAGATGTTGCCTAAAAGCCAGAAAACAGCTTGCTTGAGACTCAGTTTTTGAGACTCAGTTTTTGGGTTTTAGAAAGCAAAAAGCACTTTTTTTATTACGGCACCCCCCGATGCACAGGTGATGCCTAAAAGCCAAAAAAACCACACAAAACACACCTCTCTAAGACTCTTTGAGTTTTAGAAAGCGAAAAGCACTCGTTGATTTACGCCGGGTGCATAGGAATCATTTCCAAAGTACGCACACCGAACCACACGTGTTACAACTTTATACAACCTTATACTGGCATCTAAGTACAATATTTGGACATTACCTCGTCTGTTAGACACACTTCCAAAACTGTCCCTCCCTACCATCCTCTACACGCCTTTTGAATGAGAGTTGGAGGTTGTAAAGGAGCACCCCTTCATCCTCATCCCACTCTTTGTCATCATCTCTGTCCTTCTTGGAACAACTTCAAAGCTTCTGAGGTCTCTGAATAGCTTTGACTCAGTTATTTCAAGCCTTTACGGCTTTTTTTTTTTTTTTCTAAGCACATCTGCTACAGGCAAGATGCTCTAAAGGCCTTTCTCTGTTGGAATCCTTGACAAGAAGGTTAAACGGTATTTCCAGAAATTCGACAAAAAGGTACTTAGTAAAGTGGTACTAAAAGTGCTAAGGGCTATACTAAAATCTATATAATATGTATTTAAGGCACCACAGGAATATTTCACAGAGGGTGCATGCGGAATACAATGGCGTTACAACTTTACACCACCACCCAATTACAATATTCGGTTTCTAATTACAATATTTAGCCTTTACCTCGCCAGTTACGCCCATCCCCAAACCCACCCCTCCCGTCGGACCGCCTTCCGTCCCGCCTCCCGAGTTGGAGTCGGTGGTCCTCTTATCTTTTGTCTCCCTCACTCTTGTCCCTTGGCCTTTGGCACAGCATCGCAACTTTCTGGAACGGTTTCAAGGCTTCTGAGCAGCTTCGGACTGCTTGTTATCAGGTGTTGTGTCTGCTTCTCGGTACATTTTACAGATGGAAAACCTCTTCACCTCGTTAAAGCCGCTTGTTTGTTGAGGTTCTTAACGAAGAATGCCAAACAGCACTTCCAAAAATCCTGCACAAAGGTACTCAGCAAGCTAAAAATACTAATAAGCTATACCAAAATCTTATGTAATAGAGATTTTAAGGCATTAGAACGGAGGGGGAACGCTCGATTTGCAGAAACTTCCACCTCCCACCCTCGCAGAATAAACAACGGCTAAACAACGGCTAAACAAGGACTGTCTCCTTTCTCAAGAGAGCTCCGAGATTAGCTTCTCATTTAAATTCAGCTTCTAAAATTATCCTATTTCTTGTAAAGGAATACTGGTCCCACGATGGACTAGAGTAAAACAAACAGGGACACTGGTTCAAAGACACTTAAAGATTTTATTTTATTGTGTTATGCCTGGAAAGTGCAGCTGTGCTTCCTATACACGTTTACTTGTGAGTATACACTAAAGTGGTTAAACAGGGAAGAAACAGCACCTTTTTCTCGTGATCACCTGTAGAGTTTGAAACGGAGCTCATTTAAGGCAACACAACGAAAAGCTAATTTATAAGCTGCCTCATGGTATAAATGAGCAGCCCACCAGCAAGCCACGTCCATGAAACACAGGGACTGAACCACCAAAAATGCAGGCTGGTAAGAGTATCCAAACCATACGCGTATTAAAGCAGATATTTAAAGCATCTCAAAGCAGATATTTTATTTCAGTTCAGTTATTTTATCGAACTTCAGGAGCCCCCCGGGGGGGACACCCGGGGAAGGGGCGGGCGGAGGGTCCGCCCGGCCGGGCGAGGCTCCGGCGCCCGCCCCTCCACCCGCCCCACCTGAGCTGGTCCGACAGGTTTAAGGTTCAGAGGCGGCCGGGAGAGCGCAGGAATTCCCGCCGGCTCCCGGAGCTGCCCCGCGGTCCCCATGGCCCCCCGGCCCTGCCCGAGTGAGTCCCGCAGCGAGGGGCGGTGGTGCCGTGGGGCTGGCAATGGGGCTGGCAATGGGGCCGGCAGTGGGGCTGGGAATGGGGCTGGGAGGTGGGATGCGGCCGCTGGAGGTGCGGGAGGCCCGGGAAGCTGCTCTGCAGCCGCAACTTCCGCGTGTGGATCTCGCAGGGAGCCCCGCGCCGCGCCGTGCCTCAGTTTCCCCACACGCGTGGCTCCTCCTGGGGATGCAGGGATGAACGTGTCCAGAGGGGAGAGGGGGAGATTTTCATTGTGGGGGTAACACTCGAGATGGGTGAAGGGACAGGGATGTCCCAGAGGGAAACATCCCCTAAGGGGAACAATGCAAAGCTCTGCCTGTGCCTCCTGCACCCCACGAAGGGCATCTGGCAGCCCCCTGCACCCACCCCACATCAGTCTCTGGCTACAAGAGGCTGCAAACCTGGCCCATCCCGGCTCTAGCTGCATTCCCAGGCACAGCCAGGCCAGCTCTCCCCAGGGCTTGGGGTGGTGCTGGCACAAGACAGAGCAGTGGAAGAGCCGGTTGTATCATCCAGCTGCTCCAGGTTCACCAGACTGTGCCCAGCCAGAATCCCTGGGGGGTTTGTCCGGCAGGGGAAGCCATTCCCAGCCAGACCCACACCCCCAGAGCTCATCTGGCCCACCCAGACAATCCCTGATCCCTCTGCCATGGCCCAGAGTGTGGGGACACCGGGTGCTGCTCTCTCCTTGCAGTGCACGGGCAGGCGGGTGCTGGGGGCTCCAGGGGTGCCAGTTTGCCCCCATGACCCCAAACCTCTCATTTCCAGTGGTTTTTTTGTCTGTTTCCTTACTCCTGGTGCAGGGTGAAAGTGGAAGGGACGGGAACCTCATCCCCTCTCAATACCACAAGTGTCAGCAGCGCAGACCCAGCTGCTCTCATGGCTGCTGCAGACCCTGTCCTGCCCCCCGAGGAGGTGGCTTTGCTGGAGCTGGGGAAAGTGGGCCTGGGTAAGGTGCCCCCAGCCCCGGATGAACACCTCGAGGACCCTGATGCCACCCTGCCGTGGGACCGGTGCCAGCACAGCACCCAGGGCCAGCCAGAGTCTGCGGAGGCAAAGAGGCGCTCGAGTCCTGAGGGGGGCCGCGAAGACCCCGAGGAAGCTGCTCCCACCTGCCCCCCAGCTGAGGCCAGAGAGGATGAGGAAGGCCCTGGGCTGCCCGTGACGGCGGCCCACGTCTTCGTGCCCATCGACCCGCAGTGCATCGAGCAGAATCCCTGCAAGCAGAAGCAGCACCCCGCTCCGTGGCCCCAGCAGGAGGGCAGGGGGGAACCAGTTCCTCCCAGCAACAGACCCAGCAGCCTCCACCACAAGCAGGTCTTCCTCCCCCTCGGCCCCTCGCGCTACCGGGACCCCCTGGGCTTTGAGGGGCGCGTGGCCAAGCCCCCGGCCGAGGGGCCGCAGTGCCCGTGTGGCTCCGACAACCTCAAGGCCGTGGCGTCGGTGGCGGGGGCCCTGCTCCTCTGCCCCTGCCTCATCTACGGCGCCTACGTCTTCCTGCCCTTCGACGCCCCGCTGCTGCCCACCGTCAGTGCCCGCCTGGTGTACGCGCTGCGCTGCTCCGCCTTCGCCACCTTCCCCGTGGTGCTGGGTGAGCCGGGGGGTCGGGGTACCCCCTGTGAGCCCCGGGGCTGTGGGGGACCAGAGCTGAGGGCCAAGCTCTTTGCAGCTCCACCGCTCCCAGGGGGTGCAGCAGGTGGAGTTTTCCTCCCCTCCCTAGTGCTCCTCAGCCCCCACTGAAGCTCCTCCGGGTGCCCACTCAGCCCCGTCTCTGCCCCCCCAGGGATGATCATCAGCGGCATCTCCCGCCTCTGCTCCTCTGCCCTGGAGCCCTTTGGGGAGCTGCAGCGGGAGGTGGAGATCCACCGCACCTACGTCTCCCAGTCCATCCAGCTCTTCATCCTCTACTTCCTCAACCTGGCCGTGCT